GGGAATGCAGCGATTGGGGTGTCGACTTACAGGTAGGAAAATCCATTCATTTGTGTTGTTCGGGACCGGGATTTAGGTGACGACTAAGGGAATTTGACGACTTACAAGCAGCGAGTTACACAAGGAATTTTAAAGGAAACATCATTAGGAAAAATCGGGACTTTTATTTGAGCGTCGACTTGTGCACAATGACGAGTTACAAGAAGGTGACTTAGACCAGTCCCTTTGTTTTGTCTCAAGATGGACACCAGTAACGTTTTTTTCTAAGGCACATTTATAAAAAATTACTTAAATTACTTAAATCTAATTGAACTATGGCCTAATCCTGGCCGTGTCTGTGAAACTAGCCCATAGGGCTTGCATGCTTATTTAAAATTTTTTTTTTTAAAAGGTACTACAAGTAGCTATTTAAATTTGAAACACTTACAATAAGAATTCTTCTGCTTTATAGTATTTCATTGAGCCTTAGGTTTTGAGTGGATTAACAAACATCAAAACGTTGCATTTAAACAGTTTTCATTGATTGAAGTTTGTAGTTTGTTCCCCAGGATCTGCAAAAGACATTGCAAAATTTGATGAGTGTACATATGATAAAGAATATTTCATGTTGCACAACATATTATATTAAAACATATAATTATTCATGATTAAACAACATTAAACAATGTTACCTGACTCACCTGGCAAGATAATTGGCACAGAAATTGAGGGCCTTGCAAATCTCATCTCGTCCAGTAAAAGTCTCCTCTCTTCCAAAGTCAGCTTGGCCTTCTTAAGTTCAATGATTTGTTTCTGAAAGTTGCCGTTCATCTCATTGGCCTCTTTAAGAGATTGTCTGATATCTTTCAGAACATCTAGTTTCTCTCGCTCCAGCTGTACTAAGTCCTGACTACAACCACAGACATTCTCAAATCGCTGAGGTGTTGTGGCTGTAGCCTGAACAATTGAAGATGGAGGCTGGGGCATGGATGGACTGTTGGGAGGACTGGGAGATGGTAGGCGTCTGTCAATAGGAGGTGAACCTGATTGCTCTTGCGAACATGATGGACCTGGCTCAGGTTCAGGTTGACGCAACCGTACTCCTCCATGGAGGTCAATACCACCACAAATCCCATCTGAGGCAGTTGTTCCAAGAATTGACAGTTCCTTTTCTTCTTCTGCTGTAAGAACGAGGGCGTCATTAGGCCCACCACCTGTTTTATTAATTGTTGTCCTCTGCAGTGCCCTTTTTCTTTTAGCTAGGCTTGAATAGTCCTGCCACTTCTTCCTGACCTTCTTCCCTGATCTTTTAATCCCCCTTGTTGCAGTAAGTTTTGTAGCAATATCGTCCCAGATTTTTTGTTTTTCTTTATTTGTATGACTGCCCTTAAACCTGCTGAAAAGTATATGTTTTTGTAGCTCCACCTCCTCTAAAATTATATTAATTTCCTCTTTTCGAAAAAACGTCTTTTCTTTGTTTTTTGGTTTCAGCCATTTTGCTAGTGTCTCCACCCCTAGGTATGTGCTTATTTAAATGTTTCTCCTATTAGCAAATGTGCATCAGGTGAAAATAATTAGGCTAAACTTTTAAAAAATAAATGTAAGAGCTTATTTATTTCTTTACTTATTTATTTATTTTGATGTGAGATTTGATTTATTTTGCTTTACGTATGATTTTTTATTAATTTTGTAATGTTCGAAGGTATCCGTATAATGTGCAATGGGACAATACATGAATGGGTTAATAACTTTAAAACTAGACAAGACAGGCACACATCTAGTGAAGTGTGCTTTGATTAGTGGACTACAGGGAACAATGCACACCCCTTGCATTTTCAGATTATTTTTATCTGTAATAGTTATTAATTATTATATTGCATCCATTTAAAGTGCAATGGGGCAACACACTATAAGGGGTTAACAGCTCTGAAACAAAATGGGACAGCCATGTACGTCCTATGAGGGGTGCCTTGATCAGTGGACCCAGAGGACAATGCACACCCCTTGCATTTTCAGAATAACTTTCTAAGTTATTAATTAGTACGCTGTATCCATATTATATATGGTCGATACCCGATATAATCATGGGCGTCGCCGCCATTAAATCTGAAGGGGACGTGTCCCCCTCACATTCCATAATTATTTGTTTGGACCCCCCCCACATTTAACATAAAATATTAGTTTTATGCCAGTGCGCTGGAAGCTAGAAGCTTTAGCTAGAAACTTCCCTGGT